GTGTGTGTGTGTGTGTGTGTGTGAGAGAGAGAGACGGCAAGAGACACTCAGAGATGGGAGTGTATGCTCGCAAGAACGCCCGTTTGAGTGTGTTTATGGGTGAGTGTGTGTAGGCCTGAGATACGGAGGGGCTTAAAGCTTCGTCTAACAGCCGTGCAGTGCTGACTGCAAGCAATAATCTCTGATAGTTGCCATGGCCACAGTAATTGGACAGGGTATGTGCATGTGTGTGTGTTGAGATTTTAGAAAACTGCCTGGGTGGAAGGAGAATTAAAACATTTAAGACAAAAACCTGTAGTTTGACTGAATAACCAAACGAACAAAAAACAAACATTAGATGAGCACTTTGTCTGAAATGTCTCAAGACATTTGTTTAAACCATGCACACACACACGCACACACACACACACACACACACACACACACACACACACACACACACACACACACACATACACACACACACACACACACACACACACACACACACACACACACACACACACACACACATACATTACAAATACTAATTGATATTATTGGTATAAAAGAAAGAAGAAGAAGAAATATCCTCTCTCTCTTTCTCACACAAACACCTTAATTATTCTATTTAAAAATCAGTGGTGCTGTCCATGGTGCTGCAGTGTCAGATGTGACTGTTTTTCTGAGGCATATTGCAACAGGGCCCCTTGTAACAATTTCACAGAGCACCAACTGAGTATTATTGTGGTCTAAAAAGTGTTTTAACTACTTTGACTGATCACACATGCACACAAATAAATACTAATAAATTAAAATGCTAGTATTTTTAGAAAAATACCTCAAACACATACATGAATGCATGTATAGTGTCAGGTGCACAAACACATTAATCACTCATTGGCCCAAAAATATCTGCTTGGCTCACAGGGTCAGAGACTGAAGAGAACGATAGTGACAGATTCTGTGTGTGTGTGTGTGTGTGTGTGTGTGTGTGTGTGTGTGTGTGTGTGTGTGTGTGTGTTTGCAGGCGTGACAGGGTGTGGAGGAGTCATGGAGGTTGCGGGGGTTTTGTCCGCAGTGTGGCTCTGATATATCAGAAGTGCTCAGAGTCACGATCGTTACATAAACTGGCCTCTCCTCCTTCTTCTGTCATTCCTTCACTCTCTCTCTCTCTCTCTCTCTCTCTCCCCCCCCCCCCCCCACACACACACACACACACACACACACACACACACACACACACACACACACACACACACGCACAAATACAACACACACATACACACTAAGCTTTCTATTTTCTAGTCTGTGTTCAGCCTCTAACTCCCACAATTCACGTTATAATTTACGTTAGAAGTTTTGGGTGAATTAAGCTCATCCCAATAAACGTACACTAGGCCGCTAATATGAATTTTAAATGGAAAAAAGGACTCATGTTTACAAAAGCAATTATGTGTTTTCATGACGGACTGAATGGAAATGACTTCATAATGCTGTGATTCATAATCACAAACATAATCGTCACTGACAGATGTTTTTTTATCCTGCGAAGAGCATCGTGCCTCCACAAAACAGCCTTTGAGGGGGCGGTGAAAACCCTCAATATGTTCTGGAAGTGAGCATGCCAATGTACCCTTGTGCAATAAAAAAATGCACTTATACAAAAATATATCATATAAATAGGTATACAGAGAGTATTAAGTTAACTCAGGTATTTTATTTTCTACAAATTTTCTTTTAAAACACATCAGTTTCAGAAGGGACTACTAAAGATGTAAAAGATACATAAAAAGAATAATGGTAAAGCAATAATAAAAAAAAAAATACATTATCTAATCGTTTAATTATTCATAAACACTAAACATGTTTGACCCTATCTAACATTTCCCCCCTTCCTTCCCCTCCCCGTCAGTGGGAAATCACAGTCTGCTCATTCCTCCACAAAATGGAGGCTGCCTGGCATCACGCGTGGCAGTCCCAGAGTGCTTGTAGCCTATTAGTTCCCCCTGCGCCTCATCACCGCTGGATGACAAGCACAACAAGCAGAGGGCTGCGAGCGTCGTGCACGGACAGTGACACAATGTCACGTCTTGCCTCCTGGGAGGGATGGACGTCAATGTCTGTGTGTTGGAGAGGAGAGAGACTTGGTGGGGGTTGATTTGAGTTTGTGACCGTATGTGCATGTTTGTGTGGGTGGGGATGTGTGTGTGTGTGTGTGTGTCTTACCAGTGGGTATGTAACCGTGTGTGTGTGCGAGAGGGTGAGCTGACCCAGATCTGCTTATTAGCATCAGGAGGAGGGGGCCGGCAGTCACTTAGAGCTTTGTGCCTGAGCAGTGAACTGTGCTCGTGCTTCAGTGACACACCATCAAGCTTCACTACAGTAACACCCCTCCCACACACTTCCCTTCCTTCATCCCTTTCATCCTCTGCTACCAAATGTATGTGCTATCCAGGAAATAAACCCACCCGGAAAACACACTTTAGCACTCATCACTTGCATTTTCTTAAGGCCAAAATAGTGTCAAGGTAAAACAATGGCAATATTAGACATCACTAATTTCAAAATGTAATTATTCCTAAGAGAAGGAATTGTGTAATGTGTAATTCAGTTGGGGTATTCCCACTAAATTTAAATATAGCAGTAGATTGAGTGAAATGTTAAAATGGGAGAAGCTATGAAATATGACTGCATTCTCTCTGCACTCTCCAGCACTATTTTTATACATAAATGCCTGACCCTTTTGTCATATCTTTTGATAAGTATTCAAATGTGCTGTGGGGTGGACAGCAGATTCTCTAAAAACACTGAAAATTCACTTAAATGAAATATTTGATGTCAACAGATTTCACATTACTGTATTGGGTTAGTTGAAAGCAATAATATTAGGTTTAAATACAAAATATTAGGTTCAACTCAATATTATTGCCAAATACAGTTATGTGAAATTTGTTGACATAATACATATCATTAAAAGTCAACATTTCAGTTTTCTCAGTGTAAAGATGGATTCGCAGATTAATGTGGCAGCATTAAAGGGCTCTAACAATCAGTAATTTCAAATTTGCTTTTACGATTTGCACTGGTCAGCACACATAAAACATATTTAAAACAAGGCAAGAACAAATTCAGCCAATCATTGAAATAGGTAGGATGAAAACTGTGATAAACGAAGTGTCAAATATTCTGTAAGAACAGCAGGCAGCAGTATTTGTGTAGCCTATTTGGTACATTTGTTAGCTTACTGTTATGTAGCCAAATAAACTAAAGCTACTCTTGAACCATTAGAGCATTGTTAATTGCTTTAGATCATGCAGTTCAGGATAACCAAAATCAGAGTGTGAGATTTCCCACATGAGCAGAGCATTGAGGGAATGGTCTGAGTTTTCGCAGACTGGGGTGTGTGTACAGTAGCTAACATGTGCAGGTGTCCCACATCACCAGCTGAGGCTTCACTCGGTCAGCTGAGAGTAACAGGAGGGCAGACGGAGAGGAATCAGGGATCTCAGGGCCTGAGGGGAAATGTCTGTTCACATGGTTTCAATCTGGCTTCAAAATGTTCTCCTACATTTCTATCATATTTTTCAGTTCACCCAACATTTGATGATAAGAGAATGGCAGTGAAACATTCCTTTTTGATTGCATATTCACCAGAAATGGCTCTGAAAAATATGTTTAATATTTCTACATTATTTATTGAAAATTGAGATTTTTGTCTCTCTCCACTAAAGAAATTAAAATGCACAGCATGAGTTCCATCCGACTGGGCAACAATAGTCAATCTAAAAAAGGTAATCTAAAATCTAGTATTGCAATTTCCATACCTAGCATGTTTAAATATGAAAAAGAAGATTTTAAATGTGATGCTTATACAGATCCTGACCGAAAAAATAAATAGGCATTTCCTTGAAATCTACTAGAATGAAACAGTGGGTCTTAAAGGTCCCATGTCATGCTTTTCCGGTTATTACCCATCCCCTTGTGTGTTATGTAGCTTTTTATGCATGTAAACGGTCTGCAAAGTCACAAATCCTCAAAGTACACCTTGTAGCGAGTAAAACTCTAACACAGAAAAGATGTGTCTATATGCTGCCCCAGAACGCCTCGTTGGAGATTTTCTTTTTCCATTTTTTTCTTCCGGGAACCAAGTGACGTAACGACGACCCCTCCGCGAATTGGTCCAAATGGACCAATCTGCGGAGCTCCTCACACACACACACTCAGCCTTATTTTTCTCAGCTGAAGCTCCGTGGATTTCTTAGCCTGGACTCAGCCTGAGACAGCGGGACACGGCGAGGCCCGGCCCGGTCCGAGCACACACACAGACCCACAGCCAGGCTGCGGGTGTATGCGTGTGCTCCGGCTCTCGCCGTGTACCGCCGTCCCGCAGACCCCACGCAGCAAGCCAGCTCAGCTCACACTGTCCGCTCCAGCAGCGAGCCCCGCAACATCCCGCCAACACGGCACCCAGACCCCACGCAGCATTCTCATCTGTTAGTCATTACTGGTGTCATTTTCTGGTTGCTAACGCCATTGTAACACATAATCACTGATGTTCCGCTGTAACGGTGGTGGACTCGTCAGAACAGAGTGGGCGAGCTGACCAATCAGAGCACACAGCATCTCTGTATAGTATGTGTCACATACTATACAGAGATGCTGTATGAGAAACCAATGTGAGTTTGGAAAATTGCACAATATAAATCTATTCTAGTATACCTCAACAATGGAATTATGATCAGTAGAAATGGCCATGACATGGGACCTTTAATTCAGAGTGACTTGGGCTCAAAGAGTGTAGTACGCCATCTGGTGGTAGAATATCGAAACAAATGTCACAACTTTGAATATGTAAATGCTTAGAAATACGACAACAACACACACAACACATTCGTATACTGCCTAAAACGTGTGTTTAGTTGTAAAGAAGAAAAAAAGCAGACGTATGTATGTGCCACACTTTGAAACAAGCAAAAACATCACTATTGTTGTCCTCGTTTATATTACATTTATCAAAAATATATACATTTCTACTCTGATATTTTTCTTTATATTGCTGTAGATTTTGCAAGCGGATTCATTGGCTGTATGTTGAAATAGTGTATTTAAAATCAACTGGGAACCATCAGTGGGTGACATACAGACTCCACTCGGATGTATTTTTCAGTAACGCACTTCCAAAATGGCTTCCAAACATGAACCGGTGTATCAAATCTTCTCTTTCCAGGACTTTAAATCCTCTCCCGACCCGATTTATGAACCCCCCTCCCAGAGTCTGGCCCCCACAGCGGCCCCCATAGTGATCGATAACGGCTCCTTCCAGACCCGGGCCGGCTGGGCGCTGGAGGAGCGTGAGGCTCCGCGGCTTCTCTTCAAGTCGGTGGCCGCGCGAAGCAGGGGGGCCGCGCGCAGTGAGACCCAGATCGGTAACGACATCCCGAACCTGGAGCCGCTGCGGTGGCTGCTGAAGAGCCAGTTCGACCGAAACGTGGTGGTCAACTTCGAGATCCAGGAGCTCATGTTCGACCATGTGTTCGCTCACCTGGGGATCGGCTCTGAGGTTAGTGCTGCTCGAGGACTGGGGGAGAGACCTCGGGGGTTCGTTAAGGTTGGGGTCTTCGAAAGACGTTCACTCTGGATCTAGCTGCGTGTTCTTCCGCAGTTTCACAATTTCAGAGGAAAGTTATTTCACGTCCGGGCCCGCGCTTTTAACGACAGGGTTTCACTTGGGGACCATCAATAAAGTATTTTTCAATGACACAAAACTAATGATAATGTCAATACTTCCGTGTTAACTTGCTCATATCAATTACGTTTAAGATATATTAAATGTGTCTTATTTGGAAACAATTTTTGTATTATTTGTACTGATGTGTTAATTAAAATCAAACATTGAAATACCTTTTTTCAATATATTCTGTCCTGTCACACATTGACTCCATATTACTGTGCCTAACAAGTAGGAGAGATCTCTCTTTATTGGACTTCTTCCATTATATACAAATATTGCGAGGAAAATGAAGCACATGAGAGCACAAAGAGAAACGTTTTTTAAGTGAATATAAAGTAACGCATGCTGATAATGTTTGGCCAATATGGTTTTATCTGTCACTGTCTAAAACATCAGTCTACCTGACAACCAGTCAATGTTACTCTCTCCATGCTTTTGTAGGGCAGTGTGTCACAACCCATCGTCGTGACAGAGGCGCCCTGCAACCCGCTGCACTGCCGGCAGATGATGTCAGAGCTGCTGTTTGAGTGTTACCACGTCCCGTACGTCTCCTATGGAGTGGACAGTCTGTACAGTTTCTACCACAATAACACCCAAAGGAGCGTCCAGCCGCCTCACACCGGCATCGTTCTGTCCTCAGGATACCACTGTTCACACATCCTGCCGGTCATTAATGGAAGGTGAGGAAGCCTTTTATATGTGGTCTGTTTGTCCTTTTCTAGAGTTCACTTTTATATATTCTTCTTACTTGTTTTGTTTTTCTCCAAGAAAGAATTTTTCCTGTCTGTCCTTGATCCCCAAAATTGTTAAGGACTCTCATCATGCATCATACAAACATTTCGCGATTTTTCTTTTGTAGAGTTCAATTTTTATATGATTTTGATTCCAGGTTTGATGCGGTGAACTGTAAGCGTATGAACGTGGCTGGGAGTCAGTCAGCGTCCTACCTGCAGCGCCTCCTCCAGCTGAAATACCCTGGTCACCTCGCTGCTGTCACTCTGAGCCGCGTGGAGGAACTGCTGCATGAACACAGTTACATTGCTGAGGATTATCAAGATGGTACGGTATCTTTTATATCTTAAATGTTTTACTTCTTATTTACATAAAAAGTCTCTTTTTTTATCTATTCCTGGCCAAGATTGCAGCATAAGGTTTTCAAATAAAAGCACAAACAACAGACCTAAAACCTAAAAGTACAAAGTAAAACAAAGAAAAAATAAACATAAGACATTTCACATAAATAGGAGCGAGTATGCAGGTTCAAGGAATGATGTACAGAATTGTCTGGAAGCTAATGATATTTTTCAGAGTCACTAGATATCATAAATAAGGAGGCTGTTTGTGTAATGTTATTATAAGGAACACAAGCCAAGTTTCTTATACAAACTGCAGTAATGTGGACAAAAACCTAAATTACAGACAAATGGTACCAAAGCATTGTACACTAAACATATAATAGAAAGCATACCTACAGTAATGACAAGTTTTTAAATAGTTGATTATTTAATAAAAACACAGACATACATTTTTCTCCCTGTGGCCAGAAGGGATTCAGGTCGTCAACTTTCTTCCTTTCTTTTTTTAATTTACTTTCCATTCCCTTCTTGTTTCGTTCTCCCCAGAGCTGGAGAAGTGGCGCAGCCCAGAGTTTTATGAGCGGGAGGTTCACCGGATGCAGCTCCCCTTCTCGGGGAAGGTGCCGGGCGGTTCTGTGAGCGTGGAGGAGCGGCACGAGAGACGAGCTCAGCAGCTCCGACGGCTCCAGGAGATCAACGCTCGCCGGCGGGAGGAGAAGCTGCTGCAGGACCAGGAGAGGCTGGACAGACTGATGGGCGTGCAGGCAAGAGGCCTATTCTATCATACACCGTTTATTCTTTAGGTCTTTAAGATGACTTTTATATGTGTAAGACGTGAGATTTAATAAACTGCTGGAAGACTTACATCTGACAATCACGTGATAAAAGATGAACTGTATACTAGGACAAATACTCTAAAACATCCACAATTTAAAAAGTAGCTTTAACTCCTTTCTTTTTGATTTGATGTTGGTTGTTCAGGAGCTGCTGGAAGACGGCCTGCTGGATCACTTTCATAAGAACCTGGTAGAACTCAACATGGACTCTGCTGAAGAGCTGCAGTCCTACATCAACAAACTGCAGCTGGCTGTGGAGCAGGGCCGACACAAACTGCTGCACAGCGACGGAGCAGAGGGCAAGACGGAGGTGGGTCATATATACAGTACATATATACATAGATATATAAAAACTTCTCTACAGGTTAGATAGGTAAATGCTTTAACCAACAATAAAATGCTTTCCAAGAAGGCAAACAACACTTTATTGTCCACAAAAGTAATCCGAATACTTTAATTATCTCAGGAGAAATTGGGTTTCATATTAGTTGTCCCGTTTTAGAATAAAATAAAAGATACATATTTAAATGACATAACGGAAGAATAATGACAGCAGCTGAGCCACAGAGCTGAGATCACATTCAAATGTAATAATAATGAATGATCTGCATGTCATCACGCTGGATGTGCTGCAGCTGACATGAAGCCTGAGGCTGTTCTCTTGCTCTCTGCCAGGTGTCTGAGCTGGAGCACCCCATGGACGAGGGAGACGGGGTGGCGCTGATGGACCCGGACTTCCCTGAGGACACGCTGCCAGAAAAACCTGCTCATGTTCAGGTAGTGGCACAGAGACTCAGGATTACATAAAGATTTAGATCCTCATTAATGCTGTGCAGGAAGCTGTCTGCCACTTTACTGTGTGGCAGAACGTTTGTCCTGTGTTATGTTTTTGTGTCATGGCAGTAATGAAGCACACTTAGCTCAAAAGTTGAACATTTGGTCTTGTCTCCAGCCCGTGTTCAACATGGCGGAGTACCACCAGCTGTTCGTAGGGACGGAGCGCCTGCGATGTCCAGAGCTCCTCTTTCAGCCCTCGCCGACAGGAGAGGAGCAGATGGGACTGATGGAGGCGCTGCAGTATGTCCTGGCCAGGTAATGATACAGAATGACAGGTGCACAAAACACACGTGCATATACAATAAGGTGCATGTGAACACATAGCCATATGCTAATGAAATCCTGCAGACACAACCAACATATTCTTTCTTATTTGATTTTAACACAAAAATACTGTATTTTCTCCCTCTCCTTTTAGCATATTAAACACATTATTTCTCATATTAACTTGTTTATATTAGAAAATGACATGTGAAACAATGTCATATTGTCATACAGGTACACTCCAGAGCAGCAGGAGGCGCTGGTGAGCAATGTGTTTCTGACAGGAGGGAACATGCTGTACCCTGGGATGAAGGAGAGAGTGGAGAGAGAGCTGCTGGCTATGAGGCCCTTCCAGTCACAATTCAAGGTATAAGGTCCCTTTAAAACCCTATTTATCACCACACACACCTAAAGGGCCAAACCACTCAGTTCTGAACCACCGCCTTCTTCCTCGATACTGATGTTGACCAATAAAGAAATGTCTTGGTTTTTTTGTTTCTGAGATTGATATACTGTATATTGTTCCGAGCAAATGATACAGGTACAAATATTCTGAACTGGAACTTGATTTTTTTCTTTGTTTGCACAGAACATAACCTATCCATAATGTAACTTAATTAAGAAGTATAGTTCAAAGTAAAGTAAATAGTTCAAATTAAACCCTAACCCTAACCCATAATCTAGCTAAAAGTTCCCGAGGCCATTCTGCCAAAATGCTCCAAATGTAATCTTGGTGTAATAACAAGAGACATAAATTCACTGAATGAATGCCGAAGTTAATGGATAGAAAGGTAGAAAATACTAGACCCTCTTTGTTAATGCATCTGAACTGTGACTGGCTCTTTTCTAGGTAACCATGGCGTCGCAACCGGCCCTGGACGCCTGGTACGGGGCGAGGGACTGGGCGTTGGAGCACCCAGCGGGGGGGGAGGGCTGGATCAGCAGGCAGGAGTACGAGGAGAAGGGAGGCGAGTACCTCAGCGAGCACTGTGCCTCCAACCTCTTTATTCCCATGAAACTCGTCAAACCACTTCTTGCTCGCCCCGCCGAGCCCTCGGTTACCATGCCGACATCAACTGTCCCTTCTGCTGCTGTCACCACGGTTACGCCTGCCCTGACTCCATCCTGTTCTGCTGTTGCTGCTGATGTTTCTATGGTTGCCTCCTAAACTGGGATCTTTCCTTTACCACAACTAAATGATGTTCAAAGAATTCCGAAAGTCATTTTTGATGAGGGGAAGTGTTTACCTTTTCAGGTGCACCCACTTTCATTTGACTACTTTGTGACCTCTAATCTTTCCCAGAATGCCTTTCAACAACACCTAACAAGCAGGTTTGAACTTGATGCATACAAAGGTAAAAAAGAACACAGTCTTTTTTTTTTTGTGAAAGATTATCAGAATATATGTGATCCCGAACATTATTGTCAATGCAAGTATTATCTCAATACTTTGAGTACCAACAAAGTCACCATTTCCATCTTTTAACCTGTCTGTTCTCAATACTCCTTTATCTGCGTTTGGTCTCTGACTTTTGTAACCTCCTGACTGAGTTAGCTTTGTTTTGTTTTCATAATGCTTGGCTACATCACATTCATATTGAATGGTCATCAAATTAATGATCTTAAAAAGGACAATGGTTATATTTTGTATATGTAAATAGATTTTGTTTTTGTATGTTTGTAAAATATATTTTCACCAATGCAAACATCTGTTGGCTTTTGATTGAATGACGAGTGGAGAGGCAAGTATGGCAGCTTTCTACAGAAGTGACCCAATGTCTCTGATTTATTTTCGATAAATCAATTGGTTCTTGAAGTACTCCCCTCTCAGTTTTCCAGGCCACAGTTTTCCAACCAAGATTTGAAACCCCAAACATTATCAATTTACAACTTAAAAAAAAAAAATCAAAAACATATCCTCACTTACGAAAAGCTTCAGAGAAACTTCAATACTTTTTCACGATTAATAACTAAAACATCAGCAAAATCCTTGATCATTTATTTTCAGTGCAGACAAACATCTCCAAGCTTTAACCAGTACAAAACAGATTGGCATTAATAGAATAGACCAGATCTATGTGACGGTGTGTACTGAGCCTTTGAATGCAGTATGTATAATTAGGTGTTGCAATATAGTTTTAAACCACTAGATGACACAGTTAAACACTAGATGTCCTGTTCTCAGCCTCTACAGTGCAACTGAGCTGGATCACAATGGCAGATATATTATACAACTAAAGTAGACTGACCTCTATAATAGTAATGTCTTGTAGATTTTATCCAAACAACAAGTTTCACACTTTTGTTCTGAAAAGCTGTTTCATGCAAGTACAGCAGCAAAGTTTGCTATGTCAGCAATCTTTCAAAAGAGACACTTGTGGTTTCCACTAATGCTCAAACAGATCATGTTTCATTTGAATGCCTTTTGAACAAATGTTACTGTGTGTTCAGCCTACTAATCTAAAACTAAACTGCTTAAACAGCCTAATGTCCTAATGTTCCCTCGCTCACCTGATCTGACTCTCACTGAGGATCCGGAGTCTTGCAGGTGTGTTAGCTTCTTCTTTGTCCACATTATTGACCCAGCAGATCTCTGTGGTGTAATAGCATTATGTGGTGTTAAACTGTGGTTTAGGTTCAGACTGTCTGCCAGCTAGTTCTGTTTCTCCTCAAGCAGCAGCAGCAGCACACACACACACACACACACACACACACACACACACACACACACACACACACACACACACACACACACACAGGCTAATCAGAGCCAAAACAGGCCTGTGACTGCAGGCTGATTGGCTCAAATGTAGCAAGAGGGATTAATAAGGAAAAACAAGGCAATCTTTACGTGTAAAAGCTACAAACAGGATTAATTTCTAATGAATACAATCCCACAAGGGATAATATTTAAATAAAAATCCACTGCAGGTGGAACTCAAAGAAGACAATGGATAATGTATTTTTGTTGTGTTAAGCTAATTTTAAACCCATTTTGTGATTTTGGTTCGTTAAAAGGAGAGAAATAATTCTCCAAGGCTTACTGTGGGACATATTTAATATGTATTATTTCATAAAGCTTTGATCTTCTTATCCCTTCAGCTCATGTCGTCATCAACATGTGATGGTGCTCATGGTGTCCTGCAGATATAATCATGTTCATTCCTGCTTCCCCCCCCCCTGTGCTCACCACCCTGCCAGATGTCAGCCATGTACGACTCAACTTCACTGCTAGGACCAATGTACATCATTAGCTTTCTAAATACATTCTCTACAGAGCTCAAGTGAAGCTGCAGGTACGCCTGCCCTGTTTTGCCATGGTGTTGGCTACTGTCCAATTAGGAGGATTCTGTGAGGTCAGCAGCAGCAGGCTGAGCTCATGTCACTGGGTTGGAGGCGAGCAGAGAATAAGGAGCCAGAGTTGGCCATGAGACAGATGCACAATGAGAGTTTTCCTAATGGTTGGACAATCTTATTTTATTTTCCCTGTGTAAAACCGGAGCCTGTCACACATTCTGAACAACATTAGCTACTATTTTTGTCTTGACAGTTAAAGAGATGAAAAAAGCCCGATAGCAGATTGTCCTGTTGGCATGGTTACACAAGGTGACATGTTGAAATCCAACTCAACCTTTGTTGCAGACACCCGTGCTTTTGCTCGCCATGTTTCCTGTAGGTTTTCACTCTGCACAGGGACACGTTTGCAGACTTTTGAGAACATAGGTGGGTTGGAATAGAGGGTAGGAAGCCTGGGGTTTTGTTCTTGGTAGAGACTTCCAGTTGGTCGGTACAGTGAGGAGTGGAACTGTGGTTATAACACAGGATGTCATGATGTCTTCCTGGTAAAGCAAGTGGCATTCAACTTTTCTTACATGTATATTAGGGGTTTATTTGTTACTTTTTTGTTGTACAGTAATGCACCTAAATGCGAGCCGTGATTAAAGAAGTATTTAGAAGATATTCTCATGTAAATGTCAATCTATAACAAATTAGAGTGAATAATGTCCTGAATATAAAATGTTTACTAAAGTATTACAACGTTTTATTAACAAAATATAGTTTGAATATGAAAAGTAAATAGTGAATAAAAGTAAATAACAAAGTACCTATCAAGTAAGCAGGAGCTAATTTAAAGTGTTTTATATACACTTTAGGGTAGTTTTATCTATTTCTGTATTATCACTGACCAGTACATGTTTATTTGTTTTAGGTATTGTTAACAGATATTCCTCTTTAAGGGCTATTCCACTCAAAATTGAGTAAAAACACTCCCACATTCTTGAATAAGAGTCTGTATTCTTCACAGAGGACAGAGGTTTTCACAGTGGTATGAGAATATCCATAGAATAATCAGAAACACAGTCATTTGTAAACGATAATATCTGGAGCATAATTCACCTCCACTGACTGGGACGTGCTCTGTGTGCCACATGGAGAGGACATCAATAACATGACTGACTGCATCACAGAATACATCAACTTCTGTGAACAAACAATATTACCCCGCTAAAACTGTCAACTGTTTCCCCAACAATAAACCCTGGATTACTAGTGACCTGAAAACTCTTTTAAATAAGAAAAAGGAAGCTTTTAAGTCTGGGGACAAATCACTGCTGAAGAGTATCCAGCATGAGCTGAGAGACAAGTTGAGGAGGGGCAGAGATTCCTACAGGAAGAAGCTGGAGACTGAGCTCCAGCAGAACAATAGCAGGGATGTCTGGGCTGGGATGAAGGCTATCACTGGCTTCAAAGGGAGAGACAGACTGACTGTGGGCACCCTGGAGAGGGCCAACGAGCTGAACACCTTCAATAGGTTTAGCTCTCCGCCCGCTGCTGTCTCCTCCACCTCCACTTCTCACCTCACCTCCTTCTCTCAGCCTGGCGTCAGCATCCCCCCTCTGCTCACATTGCCGCTGACCCCCCCCCCCTCTGCTCATCTTGCCTCAGACCCCCCCCCCCCCCCCCTCTATCCCCCCTGCCATCAGCCCCCCCCCGCTTCGAGCACAGGACAGGTCCAGAGACAGATGGAAAAACTCCACCAAGGCAATTGGCTGCTGGCCCTGATGGTATCAGCCCCAGGGTCCTGAGGACCTGTGCCCGCCAGCTGTCTCCTGTTCTCCAACATCTCTACAACCTGAGCCTGCACCTGGAGACCATCCCGGTGCTGTGGAAGACGTCCTGCGTTGTTCCGGTCCCTAAAAAGAGGACTCCTTCTGGGCTCAATGACTATCGCCCTGTAGCACTCACATCTCATGTGATGAAGGTGCTTGAGAGACTGGTCTTGGCCCATCTCAGACCGCAGGTGAGATCATTCCTTGACCCTCTGCAATTTGCCTACCAGCCTCACCTGGGGGTGGACGATGCCATTATTTACCTGCTGCAGCGTGCTCACTCATACCTGAATGGTTCGGGTTGCACTGTGAGAATCACCTTTTTTGATTTCTCCAGCGCATTCAACACGATCCAGCCTCGGCTACTGAGTGACAAGCTGCAGGCTATGAGGGTAAACTCGTCCACCATCTCCTGGATTACCAACTACCTCACGGACAGACCACAGTACGTCCGGCTGGGCAGTGTGCTGTCTGATGTGGTGGTTGGTAGTATTGGAGCCCCACAGGGGACTGTGCTGTCTCCTTTCCTGTTCACCTTATACACCTCTGACTTTCAATACAACTCAGAGTCATGCCACCTGCAGAAGTTTTCGGATGACTCTGCAGTGGTAGGGTGTATAAGGGATGGACGGGAGGAGGAGTACAGAGCGCTGGTGGGTGATTTTGTTGAGTGGACTGGTGGAAATCATCTGCTTCTGAATGTGGCCAAGACCAGAGAGATGGTCATTGATTTCAGGAGGAAGAGGACATCTCCTCCTCTGCCCCTGTGCATTCTAGGAGAGGATGTGGCAGTTGTGGAGGTCTACAAGTACCTGGGAGTGCACTTAGACAATGGGCTGAACTGGAGGATCAACACTGACGCTGTGTACAAGAAGGGGATGAGCCGACTCTATTTTCTGAGGAAGCTGAGATCCTTCAACGTATGCAGCAAGATGCTGAAGATCTTCTATCAGTCTGTTGTGGCTAGTGCACTCTTCTTTGCTGCGGTCTGCTGGGGGGGCAGCATCAGAGCCGGTGACACCAGCAGGATCAATAAACTGATCAGGAAAGCTGGGTCAGTCATCGGCATCAAGCTGGACCCCTTTGAAGCTGTGGTGGAGAGGAGGACACTGAACAGGCTGTTGTCCATCATGGATAACCCCACCCATCCTCTCCACCTGCAGCTGGACAGTCAGCGGAGCTCCTTCTCCAACAGACTGCTGCAGCTCCCCTGTCACAAGGACAGATACAGGAAAACATTCCTGCCCACTGCAATAACACTACAATAAATCACCTCTGGCTGGAAGAGAACTCTCTGCTCCATAGTTTCTCTAGAAATTAAACCACGTTGTACATTTTACTCTATAATCTGTTCAATATTTATACTCCATATTCCATAATGTCATATATTTTGAATATATATATATATATATTTGTATATATAATATCTGCATGTATATTTTCTATTTCAACATGTATAGTTTCTATTTTATTTTATTTTTCTTTCTATTCTTGTATATTTTGTAGTTTTGTTTTATTGTAAAATGCCTTTTATGCTGCTGTAACAACAACAATTTCCAAATTTGGGATCAATAAAGTACTATCTATCTATCTATCTAT